GAGGTGCTGCTGGTGCTGGAGCTGCTGCTGGTGCTGGAGCTGCTGGAGGTGCTGCTGGTGCTGGAGCTGCTAGAGGTGCTGCTGGGTCTGGAGACCCTGGGGCTGAGGGTACCGGTTCTGTCTTTGCTGTTTCTGGAGGCGCTGCGCGGCCGCAGCCGTACTACGTTCCACTTCTTCTGCAGGTTCTTGGCTCCCCGCCTTCTCCTGGTCCTCCTCCTCCTTTCCTGAGTCCACCGCCAGTCCAGTCCCAGTCGTAGTTCCAGCCGGCCTCTCCACTGCCTGGTCCTTCTCCTTACTCTGGACCGACTAGAGATCTTACGGAGCGTCGTGAGCCTGAGTCTCGTCCTGTGTCGCCTGAGTCTCGTTCTGCGTCGCCTGTCCGTCCTGTTCGCACTAGTCGTGTTTCGCGTCCGCGTCCTCCTCCTGTCCCTGGCACTCACTCTATGACACTGCGTCCTTCCACTGCTCCACAGCGTGTCCCTCTGCCCTCTCCTCCTGCGTCCTCTCTTCCTGACGGTCCGGACCCGGAGTCTGACTCCCTTCGTGCTGCTAGTCCTACTGTCACGCGCTTCCTGGCCACTGCTGTCACTGACCCTCTGTTTGAGTCCACTGCTACGTCTGCTCTTGTTGCTGAGCTTGTTGACTTTGCTGCAGCCTGTTGCCTAGACTACGCCACTAGTCTTGTTGCTGAGTCTGCGTCTGCGTCAGTCTGTCCTCCGTCCGTCGGGGGTGAGTGTGCTCTTGGCACGGACGTTCTTGAGGACAGACAGGAGGATTTTGAGTGCTTTGCTGCTTCTGTACCTCATCTCATGTCCATGCTGATTGCCCCTGAGGGAGACCCGGATGCACCAGACATCCCGACCCCGCGCTCTTATGCAGAGGAGATAGAGGGTCCCTACTCCTCTCAGCGGCAGGCAGCCATGGACACCGAGATGGCTTCCTGGAAGTCCACAGGCACCTACGTAGACGAGGTTCCCCCGCCTGGGGCGAACATCGTTAGTGGCATGTGGATCTTCAGGGTGAAGCGGCCGCCGGGTTCTCCGCCTATCTTCAAGGTGCGTTACGTTGCACGTGGCTTCAGTCAGCGACAGGGAGTTGACTTCTTCCAGACCTTCTCCCCTACCCCGAAGATGACCACTCTTCGGGTACTGCTGCACGTTGCCACCCAGCGTGACTACGAGCTCCACTCGCTTGACTTCAGTACAGCCTTCCTCCACGGCAGCCTGCACGAGGTGATCTGGCTGCGCCGCCCACCAGGCTTCACTGGGTCGTTTCCTGCTGGTACCCAGTGGATCCTCCGGCGGCCAGTCTACGGTCTCCGCCAGGCACCCCGTGAGTGGCACGACTCTCTCAGGACGACTCTTGCTGCTCTTGGCTTTGCTCCTTCCACTTCTTATCCTTCTCTGTTTTTACGCACTGACACTACTCTGCCGCCGTTCTACGTTCTCGTGCACGTAGACTACCTTGTCTTTGCTCCTGCTGACACTGAGGCACTCGCCCACGTGAAGTCCGAGCTGCAGAAGAGACACACGTGCACAGACCTGAGTGAGCTGACGAGCTATCTTGGCTTGCGGATCACCCGGGACAGAGCACAGCGCACCATTACCTTGACTCAGTCACACATGGTGCAGCAGGTCCTTCAGCACTTCGGCTTCACGTACTCCTCGCCTCCTGGGTTGACGACTTGGCTACGCAGCGGTTGTCACAGGGTTACACCTTCAGTCTTGGCTCCGGTTCTGTCTCTTGGCGGTCTACCCGTTCTTCTTCTGTTCTCAGCTCCAGTTGTGAGGCTGAGATCTACGCTGGGGCCATGGCTGCACAGGAGCTTCGCTGGCTCACCTACCTGCTGACCGACTTGGGAGAGGCGCCTCGTTCTCCTCCACTTCTGTACGTCGACAACAAGGCCATGCTGGCCTTGTGTCAGGAGCACAGACTGGAGCACAGAACGAAGCACATTGCTCTGCGCTACTTCCTTGCTCGAGAGTTGCAGCAGCGTGGCCAGCTTCGTCTTGCTTACGTGGCCTCTCAGGCCAACACTGCTGATGTTTTCACCAAGGCACTTCAGCCTTGTGATCATCAGCGTTTCTGTACTGTGTTAGGCCTTGTACCTACTGTGCCTCACTTGTTGACTTCTTGACTCTGCTTGTACTGTACTCTATATACTTATACCTGCATGCTTACACTTGCTAGGTTGTGTTCACTGTATTGTTTGCTTTCCTTTATATAACTCTGCATGTGAACTGGCCTTGTGGCCCTTTGCTTGTGCTCAGACTGCGTGGTGACTTTGTGATCCACCCTGAGCTTGCTTTGCCTTCTTGACTGGTCTTGTGACCCCTTGTTCTCCCCCACTTTGCCTATGGGGGTGTGTCAAACTTATATATGCTATAGTCTGTTTAGGCTGTAGTGGGGTAGTTCTTATAGGGTACAACACTTTTAGGTTTCCTACTTGTACCCACCTGCTTCCTAGTGTCAGAATATTATGCTCTAGCCTGTAGTGGGGTGCTCTATAGCGAGTACAACTCTTCTAGGGTTTTGCTATTTGTATCCTCATTCTTGCTAGTGCAACTCTCTTCTTCCTGTTTCCTACTATTTTGATATGCTATCAGAGCAGGTCGATCCCCTTGGATCGATCCTGTGGGTGGGCTCACCACCTTGTTGCTTCCGCTGCAACTGCTACTGCTACTCTCTGTGCCGCACGCCCCGTGGCGTGCGGCAGTTTTTCTTCCCGCCGTGCGCCCCGAGGCGCGCGGCGGTTTTCTGCCCGCCGTGCGCCCCGAGGCGCGCGGCGGTTTTCTGCCCGCCGTGCGCCCCGAGGCGCGCGGCGGTTTTCTGCCCGCCGTGCGCCCCGAGGCGCGCGACGGGTTTCTGCCCCGTCACTCGCCGCGTCGCCCCCGGGAGGCGCTGCGACGGGCGACGGGGACCCGCACGTCGCCCCGTCGCGCGGCCCCTGCAGCCCCGTCGCGCCGCCCAGGGGAGCCGCGCGCGGCCCCTGCTGCCCCGTCGCGCGGCCCTGCTGCCCCGTCGCGCTGCCCAGGGGAGCCTTGCGCGGCCCCTGCTGCCCCGCCCCGTCCCGGACCTGCCCCGGCCCCGACCTGCCCCGGCCCAACTCCCGTCGCCTGTCGAGGCGACCCTGGGGGGAGTCTACAGGGGGCCGCGCGTTGCCCCCCCCCCCCTACCTCCCTACCCTGTTTTTAGGGTTTGGGGGGTGGCGGTTGGGGGGTGGCGGTTGGGGGGTGGCGGGTGTGTGGCTTCGCCTGCTCCTCCTCCTCCTTCGTCTCCCACTGCTGCAGCTGTCGCTGAGGGGGGTGGATGTGTGGGAGTGTACGGAGTGGTGCTAGGGGGGTGGAGTGTGAGTAGAGCTAGGGTTTGAACAGGGGGTGTGTGAAATGGGGGTGGGACAGTTGGGGGAGGTTGAATGGAGGCGGTCGTCGTGTCGTCAGCAGCAGCAGCAGTCCGGAGGCTACAATCTCCGGTAGTCGCCAGTCGCCCGTGGGTCCGTTGCTCGTCTGCCGCTACTTTTAGCCGCGGGGCCAGTTACCCCAGTAGTCCGGAGCGCTGTTCCGGTAGCCACTGAGCCAGCAGCTCGTCTGTGTGTCTGCAGCGTCAGCAGTCGCCTCCCATCTTCTCTCCCCCACAGTCTCTCCTCCTCCTCACTTGCCCTCTGTGATAGCCTCTAGCTTTGCTTACATTTGTTAACTATAAAACTGCTACCTCTTGTACTTGTGCTCAGAATGTGTGGTGACATTGTGATCCACCCTGAGCTTGTTTTCTTTTGCTTGCTCTGCTGATTACACCCCACTTTGGCTATGGGGGTGTGTCAGAATATTATGCTCTAGCCTGTAGTGGGGTGCTCTATAGCGAGTACAACTCTTCTAGGGTTTTGCTATTTGTATCCTCATTCTTGCTAGTGCAACTCTCTTCTTCCTGTTTCCTACTATTTTGATACCTAGTTCATTCATTCCTCTCATGATTCTCACAATCTCGGATGTGGGGCAATAAAATAACTCGAGTCTTCCCTTCTCGATTTCGTCTTTCACGAAGAAGTACCGGAGGGCGATGTGCTTCGTTCAATTCGCGAACCCATTTTTGTTCGCTATGCGAATGGCCGATTGGTTGTCGCAGAAGAGGGAGAAGCTGGGTAACTGAACCAACTTATCTTCTTCCATCAATTTGCGAAGTTATAATCCTTCCTTGGTGGCTGAGCAGAGTGCGATGTATTCTGCTTCAGCTGAGGAGAGAGGGATTAGCTCTTGCTTGTTCGACTGCCATGAAATAGGGCCGATCGGTTCGAGTCGGTAGATGTAGCCGGTACGAGATCGCCTGTTGTCAGAGTCTCCAGCGTGATCAGCGTCAACGTAGCCGATTAATTTTGGTGTCGTAGTTCCGTTCTTGTGGTAGGTTAGTCCGATCGTCGGGGTGCTGACGAGGTAGTAAAGTGCACGGTCGAGCTCCATCATGTGTTCTGCTTCAGGCTTCTTGAGATAGGTGGCGAGTTGACTAGCTGAGTAGGATAGATCCTGTCGGCAGGTAACGGCTGCGAAGAGTAGACAGCCTAACTTTCGTTGGTAGTCACGAATGCCAGCGGGTTTTAGTAGAGCGGAGACTTTGTTGCGATTTCAAAAGTGCCCAGGAACCGCTTCCTCGAGCCTACGGTCTGCTCGGAAACCGGCTTCCCCTTCCGCGACATCATGCCCGGTCCTTTGAAGGGAGCTTTGCAGCCACTTGTCTTGCCTTGGTCGTCCGGCGGAGGAGGTGGGGCGTAGCCGATCACCTTGGGCTTCTTCGACTTTTCATGTCGAGCAGCAACGACGGTAGACGCCTTCTCGACGTCACTACTATCTGTTGCCTCTGCAGCTCGCTTCGTCGACTTCGTCACAGCCTGCATTTTCTTCGACGCAGAAGGGGACATTGGCCTCGGACCAGGGAGGAGGGGAACCCGGTTCGCTAATTGAGACGTCGCCTAAAACGGACGACGGCCTCTTTCCCACAGGCTCGACAGGTTAGCCAACAATGCCGAGCTGCGCAGCTGAGTCGGCCTTTGTCTTCGACAACAACCCAGCAGCGACGGCGACCTGGCTGGGAGCACCCCGTTTCTCCCCCGCTCCTTTCCCCGCAGCGCCGCCGGACGGGGTAGGGGCACCTCGCTTTTCCACGGCTCCTTTCCCGGCTGAGGCGACCTGGCCGATTGGGGCACCACTTTTCTCCCCCGAAACCACTCCTTTCCCACCCTTTTTCCCGAGGCCCTGCAGCATGTCCCGCAACGGAGCAAAAGCATCAGGCGGAGGCTTCGGTGCCGCTTCGGAGGTTTGCTGTCGGGGCGATTGGTCGAGTACGATGACATCCTTGTCCTCGACGGACTTGCCGACGGTCTGACGGGCACGCGACGGTAGGGATGCTACCGGGCTGCCGACATGTCCTCCCACCGAAGGAGGAGGAACCGAGCGCTCATGAACTCGACGCTCAACCCCGCTGCGAACACCAGCCACCCCCTCCTCCTGACGCGACCTCGTCGACGGGCCCGCCGAGCCCTGAGACCCTCTCGCCATCGCTTCGGTGAGGACTTCCAATCTGCCATCTTCAGCTTCTTGGTAGCTTTCTCTCACAACGTCCTTCAGCTCCTTCATGCTCTCGGGTGGGAGGGTGGAGTAGAACAAGTCCTCCTTAACGGCTTTCTCAATACCCTTCACGACTGAAGCAACCAGCCGCTCCTCGACAAGCTTGAGCTGCTTCTCGACGGCGTCCTCGCTCGCTTTTGTGATAGCGTCTGCCACCCCCTCGATGGATTTCCCGCTCATCTTGTCGAGCTTCGAGCGTGCCCCTTCCAACAGCTTCCTCTCCTCCGTGACACCGTTTACGGCATCGCCGCACTGCTTCAGCGTGCTCTTTGACGACTCCGAGATCATATTCCAGGCCGTCCGAAAATCCCCAGCAAGCTTGTTGAAAATAGCGGCTTGCTCACTATGCTTCGCAAATACGTCGGTGACGAGCTTCTTCTGCGACGCCTCGACCTCCGCGACCCTCTGCAGTAGCTCGACGACATGGCCTCCGGATGCAATGGTCGACGTCGAATGGCCTGCCGTCGAAGGGCCCGCCTGTCCGCTGCCACTGGCCGTACGGTGTCTCCTTCTTACTGCGACGAGTCGCTCCTGCGCAGCCTCCCCACCCTCCTACTCTTGCCCTCCCGCTCCACCCTCCTGCGCAGCCACCACGCCCTCCTGCTGCTGCCCTCCGACCCCACCCTCCTGCGCAGCCGCCCCTCCCTTCTGCTGCTGCACTCCTGTCCCAAAATCCTGCCCAGCCGCTCTGCCCTCCTGCTCTTCGACATCCCAATCGTCCCCCGTCGCTTGCTGCTCGTCCACCCGCTCCCCGAGCGCCACTCCGTGCTTCTCCGTACGTTCCGTCCCACCTGGATGTAACCCTAAACCCTCGCCGTCGTGCTCGATCGACTCATCGCTCGAGCTCGAGCCGGAGCTTGATTCTGAGCTCGAGCCCTCCAATTCGTTCGCATTGCCGCCCGGGCCGCTCACCCCGTGCTGTATCAAACTTATATGCTATAGTCTGTTTAGGCTGTAGTGGGGTAGTTCTTATAGGGTACAACACTTTTACGTTTTCATACTTGTACCTTCTTGCTGTCTAGTTCATTCATTCCATTCTCTCACAATCTTACATGGTATTCTGAGCACGTTCCCTAGTGGGAACGTTTTTTTTTAGGGCCCACCACTAAAAATTTTTTCCTGCCCGAAGCGCGCATCGCGCCCTGCCCGTCGTGACCCCCCCTTTAACGCCCGTCGCGGCCCCTACTGCCTGTCGCGGCCCCTAGCCCGTCGCGGCCCCTAGCCCGTCGCGGCCCCAGCTGCCTGTTGCGGCCCCTACTGCCGTCGCGACCCCGCCTGCCGTCGCGGCCCCTACTGCCGACGCGGCCTCTACTGCCGTCGCGGCCCTAGCCCGTCGTGGCCCCTGCTGCTAGCACGGCTCCCTGCTGACGCGGCCCCTTCTGACGCGGCCCCTGCTGCCGCGGCCCCTGCTGTCGCCCCCCCCCCCCCTGCTGTCGCCACCCCTACTGACGCGGCCCCTACTGTCACGACCCGGCCCCCTGCTGACGCGGCCCCCTACTGGCGCGGCCCCTACTGGCGCGGCCCCTCCTGGCGCGCCCCCCCCCCCCCTGCTGTCGCCACCCCTACAGGCGCGGCCCCTGGTAAGCACCCGCGCCGCCCTGCTGCGCCGCGCCGCCAGCTGCCGAGCCGCGCCGCCCATCCGAGCCGCGCCGCCCAGCCGAGCCGCGCCGCCCAGCCGAGCCGCGCTGCCCACTGAGCTGCGCCGCTCTGCCGAGCCGCGCCGCCCTACCGAGCCGCACTGCCCTGCACTGCCCTACTGCCTCTGTTGCTACTGCTGCTACTACTACTATTGCTGCTACTGCTGCTTCTACTGCTACTGGTGCTACTGCTACTATGGCTAGCCCTACGGTTCTCACGTTTGATGCTGAGGGGCGTGCAGTTGACTTTGACGTGTGGGTTGACGACCTGCAGCTCTTTCTTCAGTGTGACTCTAGGGATGGGGTCTCTCTTTTCGATCACACGTCCGGTGTCTCTACTGCACCTGCTGCCACTGCTGACAGCACGGTTCGCTCGCAGTGGACCACTCGTGACGCTGTTGCTCGCCTTGCTGTTCGTAGTCACCTACCGCCTGCTGAGCGCGCGCACTTTGGCCAGTACAAGACTGCTCAGTCTTTGTACGACGCTGTTGTTGCGCGCTACTCCTCCCCTGCCACTGCTGCCCTCAGCCGCCTCATACTACCGTACCTTTTCCCTGACATTGCCGCCTTTGCCACAGTCGCTGACCTAGTTGCTCACCTCCGCACTAGTGACGCCTGATACCGCGCTGCCCTTCCCACTGAGTTTTGTGCCAAGAACCCCCCCCCCCATGTACATCACCCTTTACTACCTAGTCACCCGCCTCCCTGACTCCCTTTCTTCAGTCAGGGACCACTTTCTCTCCCTTTGCCCCACTGAGCTCACTGTCGACCTGCTAGAGGAGCGCCTTGCTGCAGCTGAGAAGAGTATCTTAGCTGTCGGTGCTTCTCGCGGCGACCGTCGCACCCCTTTCTTTGAGGGGTGTTCCCCTGTCCCCCTTCTCCCCTCTGTTGCTTCTGCTGCTGCTGTCGACCTCGTTGGCACTGAGGAGGTCAGAGCTGTGTCTGCCCCTATTGGGAGGTGCCGCAACAGCAAGGGCAAGGGGAGCAAGGGTGGTGGAGGGGGCGGCGGGGGCGGCGGTGGAGGCGGTGGAGGAGGCGGAGGAGGTGGCGGTGGAGGTGGGGGTGGTACCGGGAGTGGGGGCTTCAGTGGCGGCGGTGGAGGTGGTGGAGGCAGCGGCACTGGTGGTGGAGGCAGCGGCGGCGGTGGTGGAGGCAGCGGCAGCGGTGGCGGAGGTGGCGGCGGCGGTGGTGCTGGTTGAGGTGCAGCCGCGCAGCGTGGAGGCTTTGGTGGTAGCTAGCGCCAGCAGCAGCCGTGCTCCCGTGAGACCCCGTCGGCCCAGCAGCTTCGTGAGTGGTACGCTGGGCGTGGGAGGTCTGGGGGTGCTGGTCCCTGCACCTACATTCTTCGCACCGGCAGTCGTCGTGGGGAGGCATGTGGGCTCCCACACAGTACGCAGCGCTGCTTCGGTCGCTTGACTGACGCCTGGCGTGCTCAGTTTCCTGACGCTGCTGAGCTCCCTCGCTGGCATGATCTGCTTATGCAGAATGTGCCTATCTTTGATCTTGATTTAGATGCTATCCTTGCTGCTATGTATGCTTTGACTGATAGTGCTGAGGGTGACTGTTACCTGTGTGTCCCGCCCGACCCGGGCATTGCGGGTGCTGCTCTAAGTGCTAGTGCGTTTGCTTCTCCAGGTACTGGTGAGTCTGCTGCTCCAGGTGCTGGTGAGTCTTATCTCTCTGGTACTGCACCTACTGAGGCCTTACACACTTTCACACTTGACTCTGGTGCTTCACGCTCTTTCTTTAGAGACAGCACCACACTCACGCCGCTCAGTCGGCCTGTCGCAGTCTCCCTTGCTGACCCCTCTGGGGGCCCAGTCCTTGCGCACTCTTCCACGGTTCTACCGTGTCCTGCGGCCCCGTCGGGCTTGCTGTCGGGACTCCACCTCCCCTCGTTCTCTACGAACTTGGTGAGAGGAGCTGACCTCCAGGACGCGTGGGTTGACCAGTTTGCCCCTGGAGGTCAGCGTGTGACCCACTGCACTTGCTCTCGGACGGGCCGCCACCTGGCCACGTTCACCCGTCGGCCGGGGTCGAGTCTGTACACACTGACTACTGCGCCTCCTCCGGTCTTTGCGTCTGGTCAGGTAGCCGCGTCTAGTCAGGTGTTTGCTGCCGCGTCCAGGTCTAGTCCTGCGTCTGCCCCCTGCTCGTGTCGTCCTCTGATGCACGAGACTCTCCTTTGGCACCACCGCCTTGGTCACCCCTCCCTGCCTCGTCTTCGAGGTATGGCCTCCCGTACCCTTGTCTCGGGTCTCCCCCAGTGCCTTCCTCCTCTTCCTCCGGGGCCTGCCCCCACCTGTGTTCCTTGTGTCGAGGGCCGGCAGCGCGCCGCTCCTCACTCCTCCTCGTTCCCTCCGACAGAGGCTCCCCTGCAGACCCTTCACATGGACGTGTGGGGCCCAGCCCGTGTCCGTGGACAGGGTCACGAGCGTTACTTCGTGCTGGTCGTTGACGACTACTCGCGTTACACCACAGTCTTCCCCTTGCGCAGCAAGGGTGAAGTCACTGAGGTGTTTATCGACTGGATCCGCGGTGCCCGTCGCCAGCTCAGTGCGAGTTTCGGCTCTGACCTTCCTTTTCTGCGTCTGCACTCAGACAGGGGTGGTGAGTTTTCCTCCGACCTCCTGAGGGTCTTCTGTCGTGCGGAGGGCATCCGCCAGACATTCACGTTTCTGGCCTCCCCACAGCAAAATGGGATTGCTGAGCGCCGCATTGGCATGGTCATGGACGTCGCTCGTATGTCCATGATCCATGCGGCTGCTCCCCATTTTCTGTGGCCGTTCGCGGTTCAGTACGCTGCGCATCAGATCAACCTTCAGCCTCGTGTCTCCTTGCCGGAGACCACACCTACTCTGCGGTGGATGGGGAAGGTTGGCGATGCGTCCGCGTTCCATGTCTGGGGATCTCGAGCTTTTGTCCGCGATACTTCAGCGGACAAGCTGTCCTCCCGTGCCGTTCCTTGCGTCTTCCTTGGCTTCCCCCCTGACGCACCCAGGTGGCAGTTTTACCACCCCACCTCGCGTCGTGTTCTGCCCTCTCAGGACGTCACGTTTGACGAGTCGGTGTCTTACTACCGTCTCTTTCCTTACCGTGCTGCCTCTCTCCCCCCCCCGCCACTCTTCCTCGCACCAGGTACTCCTCCGATGGACCCCCTCCCCCCTCAGGGTCCTGCCCCCTCAGGTGTGTCTCAGGTAGACCCTGTTGAGCCGGTCGAGGTAGCTGTCGACTCAGGTGCTGCTAGGGGTGCTGAGCCTGCGGGTGCGGGGACTGGGGGTGCGGAGCCTGGGGGTGCTGAGCCTGAGCTTGTGGAGTCTGGGGGTGCTGAGCCTGCGGGTGCGGAGCCTAGGGGTCCTGAGCCTAAGCGAGTGGAGCCTGGGGGTGCTGACTCTGGAGGTTCTCCGGGTGTCCTGTTGCGGCGGGAGCCCCTCTCTCCGCAGCGGCTTCGTGAGTGGTACGCTCGGCGCTGTCGCCGTACTGCTGGTGCTGGAGCTGCTGGAGGCGCTGTTGGAGCTGGAGCTACTGGAGGTGCTGCTGCTGCTGGAAGTGCTGCTGGTGCTGTAGCTACTGGAGGTGTTCCTGGTGCTGGTGCTGCTGGAGGTACTGCTGGTGGTGGTACTGCTGGAGGTGCTGTTGGTGCTGGAGCTA